GAATATCCCAATAAAAAACGAGTGCCCCCCTCCCCAATGTCTGCTGTGATGAGTCGGCCGGAACTCTTAAAAGGTGTCTGGTTCCCTGGGGAATCTTTTCGCCAGACACCTGGACAGAAGACACGAGTAAGTAAAAGCACTAACAAATACCAAACATGCACGCACATCCCACTCTCACACTCTAAAATACCCACATGACACACACGCAAACACACACAACTCATATAAAATGCGGCACATATATTTCACGATACCCAGTTGTAATGTTCTGGTGTATCTCCGCACACCGGCGGCCCCCAAACCAGGAAGTGCCCGTCCGACCGGCCCACGTGACACCCGCTAAAAGTTTTCAATAAATATATTTTTTAAAACAATACAAATGTCTGCAATTCTTAATATGTGCAAATTAGCGTATCTTATAAGTGCTGCGTGCTATAAAGTGCAATGTAAATATATATAAAGTGCAAAGTGAATGAAAGTGCACGTGTAAATACTACGTAACGAACAGGCCATTCGTTACAAGGAGCTCATCTTAATCTGTATTTAAATACTGGGCCACATACTACCCCTTCCCTTTCACCGTCACTGCTGATCAACTGCTCTGTGCTCTCAAGACCTCCACAGGATCAGAATATACCTCATAATTCACTATTGTATACATTTTAATAATTATATTGTCAACATTTTCTCCAAAAGGTCCCATAAATATTCTTATTTTTACCAATGAAAGCATAAACAAACAACATTAATCCAATATTTACAACTTCAAAGCAGCCTACATGTTATCTTAATTACATTAGTGCTATACCATTACCCCACGCTGAGCCGACCTGTGAAGGAGGCTGCCAACAAACAGCCAAGATTTCACTAATGCCGTCTGCAGTTAGTTGCTCAGCTAATGTGTGTGGGGGTCTGTGCTTTTGCCTGCTCTCCGGGACGCTAGCGGGCCAACTGAAGAGACAAGGAAACTCAGCACCGCTCCGCACCATATGCCAAATATGTGTGTGTCTGCCAATTTGTGAGGGTGATGGGGTGGGAGCTGGTATGGGGGGGTACTGGTGAGTGCTGGCTAGGCTCATTTCTTGACAGAGGGAGATGAATAATTGAACACGAGCGGAGATGCAAGTTCTGATGGAGTTCAGGCAGTCACCAGTGTTGGGGAGTAACAGATTACATGTACCGGAGTTACGTAATCAGAGTACAAATTATAACTGTATTCACTTACAGTTACTGTTTCAGTGAGTGATAATTGGATTACAGTTACTTTGTTGAAATAAATGGATTACACGGTGGTTTTTTCCTGTTTTCACATTTTGGGCTATAACCATTTTTTTTTCTCGGTAATTCCACTCATTGCCGGACACTAAACCAGGTCTAATCCCAGGTCCAAACCAGGTCTAAACTAGGTCTAAACCAGGACTAAACCAGGACTAAACCAGGACTAAAACCACTTCTAAACTAGGTCCAAACCAGGTCTAAATCAGATCTAATCCAGGTCTAAACCAGATCTAAACCAGGACTAAACCAAGACTAAACCAGGACTAAACCAGGTCTAAAACCAGGTCTGAACTATGTCTCAAACAGGATTTAACAGGACTAAACCATGCTGTGTGGACCATGTCTCCTCCTCTTCTATCAATAATATTTTTAATATGGTTCAGTAAAGTCTGGGCTTTTATTTTCTTTTAGCAGACAAAACATCTTATGTTACGATATCCTGGTCTTTGCTTCTCTACAGCAAACCAAGTAATCCAAAGTATTCAGATTACGTTACTCACTTTAAGTAATTTAATGGATTATATTACAAACTACATTTTGATGTATGTAATCTGTAATCTGTAGGGGAATACATTTTAAAAGTCACCTTCCCAACACTGGCAGTCACCCAGTTATATTGTGATGAGGAGTCAACAAAAATGAAATTCAGAAAGACAAAAAACAATGGCTGGTTGCGGAGTTTGATCTAGTTTCAGAGTGGTACCGCTAACACTGATCTAACAAATTGATGTTGCGATGTGACATGATTTTGGAGCAGTAAATGGAGATTAAAAGAGGAGAAAAGCGCATATTTAACGCCTTCCCAAACTACTCAAACACATTTAATGGTAATAGTTGCTTTAGTCACTACTTTGAAATCGCTTTGCTGTGAAATAGTGCCGCTCTACCAACTGACCCATGCTAAAGAGTGTAACAGGGGACGTCTATTCAAAAAGCAGCGCATGCATTTTAGATTCCTGGTTAAATAATTCAGCAGAGCATCTTCCACTAAATGCAGTATCAGATCAGGCATACAAGTGCACATAACGCGTGTGCAAACGGTCCATTATTTCAGACAAGACCTTTTAAGTGTTTTGACTCTATCGCTGCCACCAAGAGATTTTCTTCCAGATGAATGCTCCCTAAGGCAAGTTACACAGTTTCAACCCAAATGTGAGATGTAATGTTATGAGCTTTTAGACATGTTATAATGCTGTTCCTCAACGATATCTCACTTAGAGTTGTATCGGGATTGATTCATGCATGTTCAAGTCAAGGTCATATACATAGGGTTCAAAAATGTCACATCTGGGCCTGGTCAAGCAGAAGTAAACAGCAAGGCCAAAAATTCAAGTTAATGCATCTGATATAAAAATGTATTGAACAGATACATATGTACTCTAGTTTATGAAACTGTTGACCTTTTTTCTGTACCATTTTTGGTTCTAAAGTTCCATATGTATGAAACATGGAACAAAAATTATTTCCCGAATTTCAAAGACCTGCAAATCATGTAAATAAATTACAATCATCATTTCATCATATCTTGTGTTATTCCATCTTTGAACTGTTGATGAAGGTACATGATTTTTCATATAAAATTTATTTAAAATGATAAAATTTGCTTGGAAGGACTGACATATTTTATAGAAATAGTTTCCTTTCATTTTGAAGTAATATTAAAGTATTGGGAAGAAAAATGCGACAAATGATGTAAAATCCTGCACCTCCTACTTGTTTGTACAATTTTCCCTCCGTTACTTTTCCCTCCGTTACCATGACCTTTCTTCATAAAAAATCTCATGACTCAAAATGTAAGAGGTTTTTCAACCTAATCTTGTACCATATGGTAGAAAACTATATGAAACAAATATTTCAAACCAGTTTGTTAAGGATATGGAAGTGAGAACCAAGAGTTATCACTGTTTGGATTTATTGCCCAAAAAGTGCTGCATATTTCATTCCCTCTGTTACCGACATGAGTTTTTAAATTTTTTGTCAACAACTTGAAAGAATATCACAGGTTTAACTTGACCCTGTTGGAGTGTAACTCTTTCCTACATTCTGATACTTTACTTATTTCAATAGTCCCTCTAGTTTCTGAATAAGAGACATTTGAATGTCAAAAATCTGCCCCTGTTTCCCTCCGTTACCACTTGACCGGACCCATATATTTCAAAATAAAAAGTAAATTAAAAGTAAAAGAAAAAAATATTGTTCATACATTATTATTATTAAGATCAGGCAGTGTAAAGTGTAAAGAAAACAGCACTGCGAAACAATAAACCCAGTGGATGAGACGAGATTCTTTATTTGCCCTCACATTGAACATAATGCGTTTTCTGCTATCTAAATAAGCAGCGTGTTTGGCCTATGATGTGCTGTGGTTTGTACTCGAGGACAAGGCAAGGGCAGGCACACTGGGGGGCCGGAGTTAAGAGGGTCCACACTGTTGTCACTCCAGTGCTGTGTCAAGGTCTTAGCAAACACCACCCCCCTTGTGTGTGCTGTTGGGCATATGTAACACCAAGTATTGTTCTATATGCAGACAACCTGCTTTGGGAAGATAATGATAAATTTCACTGCTCCAGGCAATGACAAGAAGAATAAAGGGAGAAGACGCATCGTATAGTGGTTAAATGATCGTGCCTGGGTAATTGACAAGGATAAATGCAGAGGCTGTGGTGGAGTTGCAACAGAAAATATAGTCCATACGTGGAACTGTGTTATGTCTCTGTCATGGTCGGTATTTAAAGTGACTTACCCTTCAATTGTTTCACTTTGGTCTTCATTTGAATGATTTTATCTGGGACTAGCTTGTCCATTGACACAAATTTACCTACTAAAAATATGTACTTTTGTAGTATTGCATTGGACAGGAAAACACAAAAAACTACCTGCTCTGTACCTTTTACTGTTTTAGAAACACAAAAAAACCACAAATATGTTTAAATAGCTTGCAGTGGTCTAAATGTATTCCTCACTTAGTTAATGCATTCGAGGCATCCTAATTATTTAACTGAATGTGTTTGTAAGTGCTTTTCACAACTCAAGAGTTTGCTCTGTAAGAGAGTTTTATGATCATGGTAAAATTAACAATAACTAGGATGCTAACATGCACTTTCTGATATCAGACAAGAAAATGCAGACAGCATTCAGCAGACAGCTTTTTACCTTCAAGAGCACCTTATACAATATATCTGTATTGGGGCAGAATTGTGCTCAAATACACTGGGGAAAACACTGGGTACAGAGCCATAGATGACCCTACTGCAGGGTGTCCAAACTTTTTTCATCAAGGGCCACATATCTAAACACAGATGAAGCAGAGGCCGATCGAGGGCTGTAGACTGGAGCTCAATTCAGTGAATAATTGAAATATGTGCATGTTTAACATGTTACTATGAACCATCAGTCTTTATTCATGCTCGAATCCTTAAAACCACACACTAAATATGAAATATAAGCTTTATCAAGGTAGATTCTCAAAAAACTTGCAGTAAAAAAATATTTTTTAATTGATGCAAGGTCATTTGGACCAATTCACCTGGAAGCCTGAGGGCCAGGAAAAAAATTTTCTGAGGGCCGCATTTGGCCCCCGGGCCATAGTTTGGACATGCCTGCCCTAATGTTGAAGAACATGCATGGTTATTTTATGTTGTGGAGTATGGATCTATTTTCCTGAAGAATACATAGTTGTAATTATTCTAATCACTGTTTTCCTTTCTTCTTTGTCTTGTCAGATACGGCCCTGTCCAGCCAGCAGGGTGAGTATACCACAAACACTCAGTCTGTCTCTGTTGGTACCAAGCCATCTGCGGTGGACTGTGCCAACCACAGCCACGCTTTATTTGTCTCAATGTGGAAGAAACCATTCTCAGATGTGGGTCTCAGCAGGGGGAGACCAGAGAATCACAAACATCATTTGCATCACCAGGAAGCTATTTTCCTCCCCATCACATTGCATAACACAACAAATGTTGAGACAAAGGCGGGGAAAACATCAAAAGAGTGCAATTACCAAAGCATCATCCCTACACCCATGTGGCCAATCAGGAGCTGAATTTAGCCCATTTTCCCAGTACGGCCTACTTAGTCAATTTACCCCCTTTTGACTGCAATCGTTCTCAATAAGACGCTTGTGTGGATTTGAAACAGAGAAGAAATGGATTTCCCACCAAGCTTTACGTTCTATTCCTATTTTTATTTGGACTCTAGCTCCCTCTGTGGCGCTCTGTTAATGGCTTCCTGTGTGAGCGCCGCAGTTGAATCACTTCATCAAACAAACCTGACAGACTTAGACTAGATGCGTGCATGTGAGCGAGTGTGTTTTCAGATTGCATTGTGGTGGATTGATGATGATTTTATGTCCAGTACACACAGTAGAGAACGAGTTGTACATTGGCAGAGCAGCTCAGTTATTCTGAAGGCCAAGATATGAAGTGGCTTATTGTCTATGATTCCAGTTAACTTCTTTACTCAACAGACAGTGAAATGCAGGCCGCGAGACAGACATTCTGTATTTGTTGTAATTAGCAAGAAGCATGAAAGAGCATTTATTTCTTCATAAAATATTCTATTTAACTGTAACTCTACCACCTCGCATGTTATCACTTTAAAAAAAAAATGGATTGCTATGTTTTCAAACCTAATACTTTACATTTTCTGGAGTTAAAACGAGACTGTATAAATGGACATAGCTAACCCCTTTACAACAACATTCCAAACAGGAAGTGAGCATGGACACACTTCCAGCTCCATCGACTCCCAGCAGTGTTGGGAAGGTGACTTTTAAAATGTATTCCCCTACAGATTACAGATTACATACCCCAAAATGTAGTTTGTAACGTAATCCAATAAATTACTTAAAGTGAGTAACGTAATCTGAATACTTTGGATTACTTGATTTGCTGTAGAGAAGCAAAGACTCGGAAATCTTCACATAAGAAGTTTTGTCTGGTAAAAGAAAATGAAAAGCCCAGACTTTACTGAACTGATTTAAAAATATTATTGATAGAAGACGAGGAGACACGTCCACACAGCATGGTCCTGGTAAATCCTGTTTTAGACCTGGTTTAGTCCTGGTTTAGCCCTGGTTTAGACCTGGTTTAGTCCTGGTTTAGACCTGGTTTAGACCTGGTTTAGTCCTGGTTTAGTCCTGGTTTAGACCTGGTTTAGTCCTGGTTTAGACCTGGTTTAGTCCTGGTTTAGCCCTGGTTTAGTCCTGGTTTAGACCTGGTTTAGACCTGGTTTAGTCCTGGTTTAGACCTGGTTTAGACCTGGTTTAGTCCTGGTTTAGTCCTGGTTTAGACCTGGTTTAGCCCTGGTTTAGACCTGGTTTAGTCCTGGTTTAGACCTGGTTTAGACCTGGTTTAGTCCTGGTTTAGTCCTGGTTTAGACCTGGTTTAGACCTGGTTTAGTCCTGGTTTAGACCTGGTTTAGCCCTGGTTTAGACCTGGTTTAGACCTGGTTTAGTTCTGGTTTAGTCCTGGTTTAGACCTGGTTTAGTCCTGGTTTAGTCCTGGTTTAGACCTGGTTTTAGTTCTGGTTTAGTCCTGGTTTAGACCTGGTTTAGTCCTGGTTTAGTCCTGGTTTAGACCTGGTTTTAGTCCTGGTTTAGTCCTGGTTTAGACCTGGTTTAGTCCTGGTTTAGTCCTGGTTTAGACCTGGTTTTAGTCCTGGTTAAATCCTGGTTTAGTCCTGGTTTAGACCTGGTTTTAGTCCTGGTTAAGTCCTGGTTTAGTCCTGGTTTAGACCTGGTTTTAGTCCTGGTTTAGTCCTGGTTTAGTCCTGGTTTAGACCTGGTTTTAGTCCTGGTTAAATCCTGGTTTAGTCCTGGTTTAGACCTGGTTTTAGTCCTGGTTAAGTCCTGGTTTAGTCCTGGTTTAGACCTGGTTTTAGTCCTGGTTTAGTCCAGGTTTAGTCCTGGTTTAGTCCTGGTTTAGACCTGGTTTAGACCTGGTTTTAGTCCTGGTTTAGTCCTGGTTTAGTCCTGGTTTAATCCTGGGTTTAATCCTGGTTTAGCCTAAAATGTAAAAACTGGAAAATACCACCATAAACATAAACCGTAATCTATTTATTTCAGCAAAGTAACTGTAATGCAATTACCACTCATGGAAAGAGTAACTGTCACTGAATACAGTTACTCATAATTTGTACTCTGATTACATAACTCCGGTACATGTAATCCATTACTCCCATCACTGACTCTCAGTCAGTTCCTGGCTTTGTATTGAAAAACCGTTTCCTCTCTCTCTGTGAGTGCTGCTGTCACACTCGTCAGCTGGAAATCCAAATATGGAACTTGGCTCCAAATTGGCCCCTATAACTGCCAGCATAGATGAGCTTCATTTGACTAGAGTCGAACACTATGGGTGACATCATACTCCCATAGTCCACATTTTTATGAAGCCAATTGTCAACTCTATCTTTACGTAGCCTGATTCTTCAGCCGGTTTCACTTCTTGTAAATCGTCTGATCTCACAACATTAGGATTTGTTCGCTCGATGATAGGCTGGTACTTTTTTATTTTACCAATTGCTGCTATTTGGTCGTGACATATGTATGTATGTATGTGCTAACGGGGCTAACTGTTATATTAAGCTTTTCCCAAACCCCACAGGAAGAAGGACAATAACATCCTTCCCCTTGATAAAATTCACCAAACGTTCTCTTTATTCTGGCTTTAAATCCTCGATCTCGGGAATCGTTGCCAACACAGAATGTGTGGCTCTTCACTGATTGGCTGGTGCTCAGACTCGCACTTCTGGGGTTCTTGCAAACCGTCTAGTGTATTCAGATTTTTGACCTAGTCCCTGGAGAGAAATAAAATGGTGCCAGCCTGGCTACCTTTTACGATAGAGTCAAGCTGTAAGAAAAATGCTTTGTTTGTTGAGTAAACTTTCCTGTTCAATTAACTATTTAATAATAATAATAATAATAATAATAATAATAATAATAGTTAATGTTGTTCAAAAACATTATCTTAACAAACAGAAATACTGTCCCATTTTATGATTAAATAGTTAAAATAATAATCAAAATGATCAGTTGTATTGTAGTTCTACATTGTTTTCTTCTTTATTGTTCCAACACAGTTCCTGTAGTACTGTATATCTTCTACTCTCATCACACTTGGAAACTTGGAGGTTGCAGAAGGCTTTACTGTTCTCTTTGTCCAAAGTTGGGTATGACTCACTTTGGAGATGCAAAGTGAAAAGTTTATTTGATGAAAGGATAACAAGGAGAAGTGCTACAGTAAACTAATAACAGTGGTCTCCCTCAAAGTGAAGACATGATGGTAGAGTTGGAGTTTGTGGTTTAAAGGGTTAGTCTCTGGTTTTATAAATAAGATACATGTATTCCTCCAAAGACATTATGCTTAAACAAAACACTTGGAATAAAAAGTTACTCTTGTCAAAGATTTGTATTCAGTCTGGGTGTTATCCTTGATTTTGACCTCAGCTTTGCCTTTCTTTACCAGCCTTTGGTTCACACATTAAAGTACGCCTCACTTCTCTCTGCTCCCACACATACTTTCTGTATCAATGATCTTAGTCGTATAATACCTTATTCCACGATGAAAATAAAGGCACCTACAGGAGCTCGAAAGTGCCAGCACAAGGTCTGCAGAGTTATGATCATCTTTTATGTAATATGTAGATTATACTAAGACTATGGATCACTGGGGTAAACAAAATATAATGGTCACAAAACTAATGCAGTCAGTCTAATGATAGCCCTCCAAAAGTACACCATTCAATTAAAAAGAAGACAAAATAAGACCCAGTGCACTGTTTCTGTCTTTTGTTGTCTTTTGATGAAGTTGAGTGTGTTGAGCTAGTGCAGTCAGTGTCCGTTTTGAGGGAAATTGAAGACAGTCAGTTGTGGTAAATCTCAGTTGTGTGTGTTTGTGTGTTTTTCTGTAACAAAATGAAATTGCCACTTCTATTAGATGTAAATTCACATTGTTTATGAGTGTTCACAATGGCAATGGTAATCGATTGAGCCTCTGTAGCCTGTGCATATGAGTCTAATAAGGGCCTTTGCCAGAGCCAGGTGGCAGTGGGAGGTGTCCTGCAGGCTTGTCCATGTGCGCGGTCTGCTGCTGCATCTTCTGCGCTCTAATTGGCTGTACCTGAGGCAGGAGGGCAAGGTGTGATTGCGATAAGAGAAAGCGCTGTGCTCGGCTGGTTTTAGTGCCCTTATCCTATAATCTGTGGATTGATTATGGTTTTTCTGCCAGCCGTGCAAATTGTTGGGGCCCATCAGTGGCACTAGAAGCACCTCCAGTCTTCTTCAGGCTGCAGTGTAATCTCTGTGTAGCACAGAGCTGCAGCACTCCACTGGCTCTGGGAGAGAAGTGCACCTCTCTGCTCAAGTGTGGAGGATTTCATGTGCCCAGATCATGGCTGAGCCAGCATGTGGTGTATGGCTGTATGGGACATGTACAACAATACTGCCCACAATTTAGAAATAAAATCTAAAATAAATCAAATATACACCTTATGATTTAAGTTAATATACAGTGCAGTACTGAAGGTTATGTTTAGGTTAAGGTTAGCCTTTATCATCCCCACAGGAAAATGTATTCTCTGCATTTGACCCATTTTTCAATGTCACTGGGGCAAACTGTCCTTATAGTGCAACTGGCAAATGATAATATTAAGTAGTAAAGTTGGGTTTTTGGGTGAAAATATATAGAATATAAAATAATAAAGCTCCTGAATATGCCACCGTACAGATGTCACTGAGGGATCTAAGATT